AGCCGACCGTCACTCCGCGCCGCGACGAGGCGGCGAGGGAGAAGCCTAGAGAGAGGCGGAGGCGGCGGCCGAGAGCCGACCGTCACTCCGCGCCGCCGTCGAGGCGGCGAGGGAGAAGCCTAGAGAGAGGCGGAGGCAAGGCCGAGAGCCGACCACCACTCCGCGCCGCCGACGAGGCGGCGAGGGAGAAGCCTAGAGAGAGGCGGAGGCGGCGGCCGAGAGCCGACCACCACTCCGCGCTGCCGTTGAGGCGGCGAGGGAGAAGCCTAGAGAGAAGCGGAGGCGGCGGCCGAGAGCCGACCGTCACTCCACGCCGCCGTCGAGGCGGCGAGGGAGAAGCCTAGAGAGAGGCGGAGGCGACAGCCGAGAGCCGACCGTCACTCCGCGCCGCCGTCGAGGTGGCGAGGGAGAAGCCCGAGGGAGAAGCCCAGAGAGAGGCGGAGGCGGCGGCCGGGAGCCGACCGTCACTCCACGCCGCCGTCGAGGCGGCGAGGGAGAAGCCTAGAGAGAAGCGGAGGCGGCAGCCGAGAGCCGACCGTCACTCCGCGCCGCCGTCGAGGTGGCGAGGGAGAAGCCCGAGCGAGAAGCCCAGAGAGAGGCGGAGGCGGCGGCCGAGAGCCGACCGTCACTCCACGCCGCCGTCGAGGCGGCGAGGGAGAAGCCTAGAGAGAGGCGGAGGCGACAGCCGAGAGCCGACCGTCACTCCGCGCCGCCGACGAGGCGGCGAGGGAGAAGCCTAGAGAGAGGCGGAGGCGACAGCCGAGAGCCGCCCGTCACTCCGCGCCGCCGTCGTGGCGGCGAGGGAGAAGCCTAGAGAGAGGCGGAGGCGGCAGCCGAGAGCGGGACTCCGCGCCGCCGTCGAGGCGGCGAGGGAGAAGCCTAGAGAGAGGCGGAGGCGACAGCCGAGAGCCGCCCGTCACTCCGCGCCGCCGTCGAGGCGGCGAGGGAGAAGCCCAGAGAGAGGAGGAGGCGACAGCCGAGAGCCGACCGTCACTCCGCTCCGCCGTCGTGGCGGCGAGGGAGAAGCCTAGAGAGAGGCGGAGGCGGCAGCCGAGAGCCGGCCACCACTCCGCGCCGCCGACGAGGCGGCGAGGGAGAAGCCTAGAGAGAGGCGGAGGCAAGGCCGAGAGCCGACCACCACTCCGCGCCGCCGACGAGGCGGCGAGGGAGAAGCCTAGAGAGAGGCGGAGGCGGCAGCCGAGAGCCGACCACCACTCCGCGCCGCCCTCGAGGCGGCGAGGGAGAAGCCTAGAAGGAGGCGGTGGCGGCAGCCGAGAGCCGGCCACCACTCCGCACCGCCGTCGAGGCGGCGAGGGAGAAGCCTAGAGAAAGGCGGAGGCGACAGCCGAGAGCCGACCGTCACTCCGCGCCGCCGTCGAGGCGGCGAGGGAGAAGCCTAGAGAGAGGCGGAGGCGGCAGCCGAGAGCCGACCACCACTCCGCGCCGCCGACGAGGCGGCGAGGGAGAAGCCTAGAGAGAGGCGGAGGCGGCGGCCGAGAGCCGACCGTCACTCCGCGCCGCCGACAAGGCGGAGAGGGAGAAGCCCGAGGGAGAAGCCCAGAGAGAGGCGGAGGCGGCGGCCGAGAGCCGACCGTCACTCCACGCCGCCGTCGAGGCGGCGAGGGAAAAGCCTAGAAAGAGGCGGAGGCGACAGCCGAGAGCCGACCGTCACTCCGCGCCGCCGTCGAGGCGGTGAGGGAGAAGCCTAGAGAGAGGCGGAGGCGGCGGCCGAGAGCCGACAGTCACTCCACGCCGCCGTCGAGGCGGCGAGGGGGAAAGCCCAAAGACGAGGCTCGGGTAGAAGAGGAGCAAGGCGAGGCTCACTCGAGAGGGAAGGCAGCTGTGACAGCTGGCCGCCCACCACGCCGCCCACGAGGAGGCACACGAGACGAGGCTCGAGTAGAAGAGGAGCGAGGCGAGGCTCACTCGAGAGGGAAGGCAGCTGTGACAGCTGGCCGCACGCCACGCTGCCCACGAGGAGGCACACGAGACGAGGCTCGAGTAGAAGAGGAGCGAGGCGAGGCTCACTCGCCATGTCGCCCACGAGGAGGCACACGAGACGAGGCTCGAGTAGAAGAGGAGCGAGGCGAGGCTCACTCGAGAGGGAAGGCAGCAGTGACAGCTGGCCGCCCACCACGCCGCCCACGAGGAGGCACACGAGACGAGGCTCGAGTAGAAGAGGAGGGAGGCGAGGCTCGCTCGCCACGCCGCCCACGAGGAGGCACACGAGACGAGGCTCGAGTAGAAGAGGAGCGAGCTGAGGCTCGCTCGCCATGCCGCCCGCGAGGCGGCACACGATACGAGGCTCGAGTAGAAGAGGAGCGAGGCGAGGCTCACTCGCCATGTCGCCCACGAGGAGGCACCCGAGACGAGGCTCGAGTAGAAGAGGAGCGAGGCGAGGCTCACTCGAGAGGGAAGGCAGCAGTGACAGCTGGCCGCCCACCACGCCGCCCACGAGGAGGCACACGAGACGAGGCTCGAGTAGAAGAGGAGCGAGGCGAGGCTCGCTCGCCACGCCGCCCACGAGGAGGCACACGAGACGAGGCTCGAGTAGAAGAGGAGCGAGCTGAGGCTCGCTCGCCATGCCGCCCGCGAGGCGGCACACGAGACGAGGCTCGAGTAGAAGAGGAGCGAGGCGAGGCTCACTCGCCATGTCGCCCACGAGGAGGCACACGAGACGAGGCTCGAGTAGAAGAGGAGCGAGGCGAGGCTCGCTCGCCATGCCGCTCACGAGGAGGCACACGAGACGAGACTCGAGTAGAAGAGGAGCGAGGCGAGGCTCACTCGAGAGGGAAGGCAGCAGTGACAGCTGGCCGCCCACCACGCCGCCCACGAGGAGGCACACGAGACGAGGCTCGAGTAGAAGAGGAGCGAGGCGAGGCTCACTCGAGAGGGAAGGCAGCTGTGACAGCTGGCCGCCCACCACGCCGCCCACGAGGAGGCACACGAGACGAGGCTCGAGTAGAAGAGGAGCGAGGCGAGGCTCACTCGAGAGGGAAGGCAGCAGTGACAGCTGGCCGCCCACCACGCCGCCCACGAGGAGGCACATGAGACGAGGCTCGAGTAGAAGAGGAGGGAGGCGAGGCTCGCTCGCCATGTCGCCCACGAGGAGGCACACGAGACGAGGCTCGAGTAGAAGAGGAGCGAGGCGAGGCTCACTCGAGAGGGAAGGCAGCAGTGACAGCTGGCCGCCCACCACGCCGCCCACGAGGCGGCACACGAGACGAGGCTCGAGTAGAAGAGGAGCGAGGCGAGGCTCACTCGTGAGGGAAGGCAGCAGTGACAGCTGGCCGCCCACCACGCCGCCCACGAGGAGGCACACGAGACGAGGCTCGAGTAGAAGAGGAGCGAGGCGAGGCTCACTCGAGAGGGAAGGCAGCAGTGACAGCTGGCCGCCCGCCACGCCGCCCACGAGGCGGCACTGGGGTGCTGCCTGGAAAGGAGATATCCCAGAGCCACCTGAGCGCAGAGCTCAGCCACATCTGCAGCACGAGGCCGGAGAGAAGAGAGAGGCACGCCACGAGTTGAGATGCAAGGTGCAAGGTGCAGGGGTGCTGCCTGGAAAGGAGATATCCCAGAGCCACCTGAGCGCAGAGCTCAGCCACATCTGCAGCACGAGGCCGGAGAGAAGAGAGAGGCACGCCACGAGTTGAGATGCAACAGCATTCCTCAGAGCGGGCTGTGGAGCCACCGACTCGGGTCTCCAGGTGGACGAGGCCGCTGTGGCAGGGCCGAGGCGACCGCAGAGCATCGCAGGCAAGCAGATGAGGCCATCGCCCATCGTGCACTGCTGCCAAGGACAGTCGCCAGCAACAGCAACAATGGCGCAGACGCACAGATCCTGCACGGAGAAGAAAGAACTGATGCAGCCGAAGGGCTGGCGCAGTAGGAAGGAGAGCCTGGCGCGGCCAAGGACGAGGAGCGGCGTCATGGCCAGGTGAGCAGGAGAGAGCAGCGGAAGCCGCGCTCATCAGAGCAGCGAGCGGGCGGGAGCGCCCGACACGCACGGAAGTTCAAACTTCCGTAAAAGATGAAGTAAAAGATGTCCACGGAGAGTCCGTGAAGGACGCAGAGGCAGAAGAAGAGGTAGGAGAGGAGAGGGTGAGTCTCCTGCGGGAAACTAGTGGCCTATCACGAGTTAGGGCCCCTACCCCAATCGTTATCGGCGGAGTTTTAATTGGTATAACACAAAGTCGACCTTATTGGCCAAGGTTTGCGTGACGGGGCGGCTTGAGTGCACTCGACACATGCTGACGCTCCTGCAGCAGCCCGGGGCCACCGCGCAAGTGCGGCCGCCGCCTCTAAGTCGACCGAACTGGCCAAGGTTTGCGTGACGCGGCTTGAGTGCACTCGACACATGCTGACGCTCCTCCAGCAGCCCGGGGCCACCGCGCAAGAGAGGCCGCCGCCTCTGCTCCCCGAGTGGCCAGACTGCGAGCATGCGTGCAACCAGTCGCGCCGCATTTTCCCGGCTAGCGGCAACCGTGATCGAGTCTGGCCCGATTGCCCGCACGGCTCTAGCGGCTGCATGGACTGCTCCGACGTGGACCCCAGCTGCCCATGGTACGTTGGCGCCTACGATGGACACGGCTGCGAGGACAACCCGGCCTTCATGCTCTCCCAGTGCCCTCGCTCCTGCAACGCCTGTCACTTGCTGGACGAGGTGGTGCGTTGTGCTTGGGCGCTGGACCGCCCTCCCGCCCTCCTGCCAGGAAGCGTCGACGCAACGTTCCAACGGCTAGGGCGCAAACTGTAGCTTAGGCCGGCTTGCACCGCACGGTCACGGAGAACGATCGCGCACAATCCACAAACGCGACCAACGCCGAGAGTGATCAATTTGTGTTTATAATAAGTTTTTGACCGCGGCGTTTCGATAGGTGAAGGTGGCCCATCAGGTTTGAGAGAATATAGGTACCTATGTTTCAGCGGGGACCTGTTCGTTTTTACCCATCTCACAGTAGAGGTGTCCGTTTTTATTTTTGAATTTTATGTTTTTTGTTAGAGAGGTAAAACCCACGTGGTACCTGCAAAAACGTGACGCACACGCCACGCGCCTCGCTTGGTGACCTCGCTGTGCGTCTCCCGTTTCGCGTTACTTTATTAGGTTTGCATGCGCTCTGCCACGGCGTGGGCGCACCGTAGGGTGGAACTGGAGGGCGAGGGCGCAGCCGCGCTGGTCCACCTGTGTGGAGATGTTTACCTGACCTTACCTGACCTTACCGCGCTGGCCCGGTCTTGCATCAGCCCGCGCCGCTCCGAAGCTCCTCTCAGCTGATCGGCGCGCCCCTGACGGCGGCGGTACACTTGCCTGCTCGCAGGCAGAGGTGTGAAGAGGCGCCCCGTCACAGCGCTGCGCAACTGGCGGCCGCGTCCGCCTTCGGCTGTGGCGAACGCGACGCCCTTGTAGCACGCCACGCCCTCGGCGTCGGTGGCGAGGTCGGGCATGCATGTCTCCCACGCCTGTTCACAGAGCGAGGTGTGAACGGCGCCTGCGCCAGGGGCGGGCTCGCGCCTCACGCATTCTAGTCCAAGCAACTCTCGGCATCTCTCGGGCGGATGCATCTTCGCGCGTGACCTTCTTCTTGGCGAGCTTCTTCGGGTTTTGCTCCGGCTCGCCCGCGAACCCCTCGAAGCTCACCCTGGCCCCCGGCGCCGACCCGTCGGGCGGGGTGACGAAACAGAGGCCGCCCTCTCCCTTGGCGCAGAGCACCATCCCCTGCGACTCGACGCCGCCAAGCTTCTTGCTGCCCAAGTTGCAAAGCACAACCACGCGCGCGCCGCGCACCTGATTAATTAATCACATCTGTAAGCACCTAATTAAGTGACTAATGATCACGCGCGCGCCGCGCACCGCGTCGATGGGCAAGTGCTGCGCCAAGCCTGGTGCACGCCACGAGCCGTGAAGCGACGCTGCACCTCGGCTGCACCTGCGCTGCATCTGCGCTGCAGCTCGGCTGTCTCTCCGCTGCATCTCGGCTGCATCTCGGCTGTCTCTCCGCTGCATCTCGGCTGTCTCTCGGCTGCAACTCCGCTGCATCTCGGCTGCATCTCGGCTGCAACTCCGCTGCATCTCGGCTGCATCTCGGCTGCAACTCCGCTGCATCTCCGCTGCATCTCCCGCGCGCCCGAAAGGATCTGGCGCGGCCCGGCCGGCTCGCCGAGGTCGATGGTCTCAATGTAGAGCTTGTCGCTTTCCGGGTGCGCCTGATTAATAGCTAATTAGGTGATTAATTAATAGTTAATTAATCTCGATGTAGAGCTTGTCGCTTTCCGGGTGCGCCTGGTCTCACCGCACGCGCCGTGACGCCGCGCCGTACCGCCCTCGCACCACCGCCCTCATACACCACCGCCCTCGTACACCACCGCCCTCGTACACCCCTCGTACACCCCTCGTACACCCACCCAAAGACCTCTCATCTCGGCTGCCTCTCGGCTGCCTCTCGGCTGCCTCTCGGCTGCATCTCTCGCGCCTCGGCCGCGGTGATGACGCCGACGCGGATGTCGAGCCAAGACACATCCACCGCCCTCGCGTCTACCTCACACCGCCCGCTGTGAGAATGAGACGCCGTTCACAGCCCGTCCGCGGCTGACGCGATTCCAGCGCCGCCTCCGCCTCCGCCTCCGCCTCCGCCTCCGCCTCCGCCTCCGCCTCCGCCTCCGCCCTTCGCAGCCGCCTTCTCCTTCGCCGCAGCCTTGGCCGCCGCCTTGGCCGCCTGATCACACCACCCCGCCCTCTGTGTGTGAACAGCGTCTCCGTCGCCGCCGCCGCCGCCGCCGCCGCCTTGGCAGCAGCCGCCCTCTCCGGGTCCGCCTCCGCCCCGCCTCCTCCTCCTCCGCCGCCTCCGCCGCTGCCGCCTCCGTTGCCCTTGCCTCCTCCTCCGCTTCCCTTGCCCGCCGGCGGCTGCTGCCCCGCACGCGTACCGGAGGAGGGAGGCGGCGCCGCTGCGGCGGGCGGCAGGATGGAGCCGACCTGTTCACGGCGGGTCCGGCGTGATCACGGCGGAGAAGGCGTGAAGGCCGCCGCGTCTTTTGGAAGGCGGCTCTGCCTCCCACCGCAGCAGCCGCGTCTCATCTCGCCTCCACCTCCGTCCCGATCTCGTCCCGATCTCGTCCCGATCTCGTCCCGATCTCGTCCCGATCTCGTCCCGATCTCGTCCCGATCTCGTCCCGATCTCGTCCCGATCTCGTCCCGATCTCGCCTTCATCTCGCCCATCAGAGAGTCGAGCTGCGACAGCACGCGCTCGAACGGCTGCGGCGGCGGCGCGGCAGCCTCCATCTTCTTCAGCATCGCCTGTTTGGAGTCTCGCCATCAACCAGCGACCGCTCGCCAATGCGCCCCTCCCCTCCTCTGACGGCAGCGTCGCCTCGGCCGCCTCGGCCGGCAGCATCGGTCCAGGCTCGCTCGAGTCTCCCTTACCGAACCGCGGGACGACGTGGAAGTGCGCGTGGAACACCTCCTGCTCCACACGCCGCTGGCATGAGCGGACGCCCTCCGCAGCGGCACGCGTGAATGAGCTTGCGGCTGTGGCAGAGACGGCACCTGGCCGGCCTCGGCGCCGCTGTTCTGCAGCACCTTGACAGCAGGCGCGCCGGTCGCCGCCTTGACGAGCTGCGCGAGCCGCGGCAGAGAGGCGAGCGTGCTCGCCGCCACGTCGGGAGCCATGTCGAGCACAGACACGCACGGCGCCTGGCGGGAGGAGGCGGGGGGAGGCGGGGGGAGGCGGGGGGAGGCGGGGGGAGGCGGGAGGAGGCGGGCTGAGGCGGGAGGAGGCGCAGAGAGAGGTGCGGCGGACGGTGCGGGTCAGTTAGGCGACGGTTCGCTGAATGGCAGCGGCGGAGGTGTGGGAGCGGCGAGTGGTGTGGCAGCGGCCGAGCTGTGACAGGGAGGCTGACACGAGCGGCGGCTGCACGCCTTTGGGATGAGGAGAGAGTGCCCAGCGCAGCACGGGAAGGCGTCGAGGATGGCGAGAGCGTGCTCCGTCTCGAAGATCTTGTAGGACGGGATCTCGCCGCGCAGGATCTTGGCAAAGATGTTGGAGTCGTCGTAGGAGGCCAGCGACGCTGAGGCCATCGTGGAATGTCGAGCAGACGGCGCGAAAAGAATTTTCGCGCACGAATTCGTAAGAGCACACGCCCTTGGCGAGTGGGTGATTTCTTTCTTTCTTTTAGCACACGCAGACAAATTCTTCTCCTTGTTCGCGCCTCGATGCCCGCGAGCAACAGCGCTCTGTCCGCGAGGATCAAGGCGCACCTGCGGGAGCGCGGCGTCTTCGACGAGCTGCGTGCTCTTCTTGTGGCGGACGGACTCGGCTGTGACGTGTCACCCGGCTCGGTGGAGTCGGCGGCGCTGGGAGCGCTGTCGGATGGTTCGCCTGCTCTCGCTGTGGGTGGCGGCGGCTACCAGCTGCAAGTGCGCCTGCACGGCGGCCGCGCCTTTGAGGAGGGCGGTGGCCGCCTGCGCGTCTGCGTGCAAATGGGCGGGGAGCGCTTCACGACCGCGCGAGTGGCGGCGGTGGCGGAGCCTGCCTTGTCCGGCCGGTTCGTCTTCTCTCTGCCGGCGGAGGCCGAGGCGCTGCTGACGTGGCGCGAGCCGCTCTACCTGCTGGTGCTGCAGTCCCGCCGCCGCTGGCGGGGGAAGGCGGAGGCGGCGGAGGCGGTGGTGGAGGAGGCGGAGGAGGAGGCGGAGGAGGAGGAGGAGGCGGAAGAGGTTGTCTCTTCGCTGCTGCTCGAGTGGCGCAAGGTGCTGCACCTCGGCGCCTGCTCCCTCTCCCTCGAGCTGAGCGGCGCGGGCGTGCAGACCACGCTTCCCGCCCACCCGCGGCTTGTTGACCGCGCCTCTTCACACTGGTGAGCTGTGAACAGGCGTGCAGTCCAAGCTGCCCGTCGGCTGCCTCGAGATCCAGCTCTCCCTCCTCGCACCGCACCCCCTCCCCGCCCCGCTAGCGCCGCCCGCTCCGCCGCTGCACGAGGTGCGAAGAGATGTGGCCGAGAGGTAGGGGGTGGCGGGGCCGAGGAGCTGGCGGTGCTCTTTGTCCGTGCCCACGACCCATGACAACCGAGAGACACCCATGACAGCCCGAGAGATGACCTACCGCTCCGCCGCTGCACGAGGCGGGTGCGGTCGAGGCGCAGCTAAAGGCGGAGCGGGCGGCGGAGCTGGACGCCGCGCACTGTCAATGAAAAGCTACCCATTAAGTAATTCCTTTCAATTCATAGGCGGCGGAGCTGGACGCCGAGCGCCGCTTCTTCAGCTACGCGAAGGCGCGGTGGTCCGACTACGTCTCCTCCTCTGATTGATTCAAAGGAATGCATTAAAAGTAATTAATTAGGCGTGGTGGTCCGACTACGTCTCCTCCTCTAATTGATTCAAAGGAATGCATTAAAAGTAATTAATTAGGCGTGGTGGTCCGACTACGTCTCCTCCTCTAATTAATTCAAAGGAATGAGTTAAAAGTAATTAATTAGGCGTGGTGGGCCGACTACGTCTCCTCCTCCGCCTCCCTTGGCCGCCGGCCGGTCAAGCTGTTTGCCCTGAGCGAGCTTGGCGTGCAGCGGCCAGTGACGTGCTTCGTGCGGCCGCTCGACTCCGGCCGGCTGCTGGAGAGCGCGGCGCAGGCTGCGCACTTTGTCTCTCTGCTGCGGTGGGAGAGGGCGATGCCGGTCGGAGGGACGGACGTGCGGCAGTCGATTGATTCAAAGTAGTTAATTAAACGTAATTAGTTAATAGGTCGGAGGGACGGACGTGTGGCAGTCGATTGATTCAAAGTAGTTAATTAAACGTTATTAGTTAATAGGTCGGAGGGACGGACGTGTGGCAGTCGATTAATTCAAAGTAGTTAATTAAACGTAATTAGTTGACAGGTCGGAGGGACGGATGTGTGGCAGTCGATGGGAGCGACGCTGGCGAGGCGTGCCGGCGAGGCGGAGGAGCTCGCGGTGCTGCTCTGCTCGCTGCTGCTCGGCCTCCGGCTGGACGGCTTCACAGCAGCCGCCGCGAGCTCTGTTCACAGCCTGCGCGTGTGAACAGGCTTCGGGCTGGAGGCGTACGTCGCCGTGGGCAAGGACGAGGCGGGGCCGCGCGTCTGGGTGATGAGCGCCGCAGAGCAGGGCAGCTTCACCTTTTGGGACCCGGCCTCGGGCGCGAGGTATCACCACGCGCCGGGCTCGCCTGCCGCCTCTCCCTACCTGTCCATCGGCTGCGCGTTCAACCACGAGTCCTTCTACGCCAACCTTCAGGCGCACCTCCCTCTCCTCCCGCCCCCCCTGCCCCCTGTGAACGGCGTCTCTTCACAGCTCCGTGCCGTGAGCAGGAGGACGACGCCCTCTCCTCCTCCTCCCTCGCCCTCGGGGAGCCGCTGCTCTGGAGAGCGATCGACCCTGCGCTGTTGCGGCGCCTCACGCCGCTACCGGCGCCGCGGCTGACGGCCCCGGCGTCGCAGGACGGCAGGGTCGGCCGGGAGGTTGCGTTGGAGGCGCAGTTGCGCCGGAGGCTGGAGGCGCACCGCGCGTCGCTCGGCCTGGCGACCTCTTGGGACACCGCCCTCGAGTCAACCCTCGGCCCGACCACTAGATGCGCCGAGATGCGCCGAGATGCGCCGAGATGCGCCGAGATGCGCCGAGATGCGCCGAGATGCGCCGAGATGAGCCGAGATGCGCCGAGATGCGCCGAGATGCGCCCTCGAGTCCTCGGCCCCGCCCTCTACGCGGCTGGAGGCGCAGTCCAGTAGCCGTGAGTGACATGTGAAGTTGTACGCCAGGCCCGGCTCTCCACTCGTACGAGCTGGAGGCGCAGTGCGGCGCCACACTTGGCGACGTAATTTAAAGTAATTATTCAAAGTAATTACTTAATAGGCGCAGTGCGGCGCCACACTTGGCGACCCTTCCTCCGGCCGGCCAACCCTGACAGAGGTGGAACCTTCTCTGAACCTTCTCTGAGCTACCTTTCAGGTGCCCCTCCCTCCCGGCGACCCTGACGCGGCGTAGACTTCTCCGAACCCTCTCTGAACCCTCTCTGAACCGCCCTGCAGGCGCACCGGAGTTCCAGCTCGCCGTCAAGCGCTGCACGCCGACCGGGCACACAGACGCTTCCTAGACACTTCCTAGACACTTCCGAGACACTTCCGAGACACTTCCGAGACACTTCCGAGACTCTTCCGAGACACTTCCTAAGCGTTGCATGCCGACCGGGCACCTGCCTTCCTTTCAACGGCCACAGCACCTAACACCCGGCATGTCCAGGACATGTCCATGACATGTCCGTGCCGCGTCTTGCTCAGGCACACCCTTCCGCGGCTGCCCCACCCGCCATACGGGCATGTCCAGGACACGTCCCCGACATGTCCACGCCGGGCTTAGGCACACCTTCCGCGGCTACCCCGCCCACTTTACGCACGCGAGACCCGCCGCGATGGCGCGCCACCTCGCCACCGCCGCCGGGGCTGCCGGCGTGCTGCAGTGCAAGGCGCCGCGCGCCAGGCTTGCGCTGCGGCTGCGCACCTTTGCCTACCCCGACGGAGTCACCTCGGCGTGGCTCCTCCTCGCCTGCAGCGCCGCGCTCGAGTAGGAGGGCTGAGATGCGGCAGCGGAAAGGGCGCGTTTCCTTGGCGATGCTCCCCACGCAGGCCACGGCATGACTGCACCGGTGCTCTCCGGAGCGCTAAGGGTAGTTTCCCTGCCTGCTCTCCGCAGTCCGCCATGCCACCTCCCCTGGTGGAGTCAAATCTCTCTGCTCAGTAGTCTGGAGGTGAGTCAATCCTCCTACCGTTGCACTTGTGGGGACGTCGGCCAACGCTCGGGGCTCTGAGGGCCCCGGTTTAGTGTGGAGCTTCTCTGTGAGGACTCTGTCCGACTCTGTCAGGACTCATGTCAAGACTCTGTCAAGACTGTCTCTGTCAGTCAGGACTGTCCGGACACGGCGGGGAGCTTCACGGCAGGTAGGTTGGTAAGGTAAGGTAAGGTTAATTTCTCTCACGTCAACACATCAGCAACACATCGATGTGCGCACAAAAAGAGTGGTGCTGGTGGGGCAAGGGGGGGCAACCCTCGCCAACAAGCAACACGATGCGCAGCCGCAGGCGGGCCGCGGTCGGGTCGCGCAACGGGGCTTTGATTACAGATTAGGCGCATGTGTGTGCTACAACGGTCAACGCGGGGGAAACGCCGGGCTACACCAGATACCATAAGCGAAACCACCGCAACTGAAAAGTGAACAACATCGGCTGTTGTGAGTGTGTCCACGAGTCGCGAGTCGTTGGGTCATTTAGGAGCTGGCGGCTTCATCTCAGCCTCGTCCACCGCGGACTCCACCGCGGCCTCTCCGAACTTAGGGGTCTTTGCAGCAGAGTCTTCGACCGCCTCAACCGTCTCCACGTCTGTCTCCACGTCGGCCTTTCCGACCGCAGGGATAGCCACCGCAACGGAATCGGCCACGGAGGTCTCCACCGCAGCCTCCACCGCCGCACCCTCCGCCTCCGCAACCTCCGCAACCGTTGTCCCCGCTGCCGCCGCCTCAGTCGCCACCGCTTTTGTTCCGACCATAGCGTCATCCAGCTCGTCTCCTGTGGCGAGCTCAGCCCCTGCCTCCTGCTCGGGAACGGAGAGGGCCGGCGGAGCGTCCGGACCACCTCCTTCAGCTGCCCGCTCGGACCGGAGGGACGGCACTGCGACGTGCGTCGTCGCCATCTCCTCCCGCCAGTTTGACTGCTCCCGGTTCGCCCGTTGCGCGTGCATCACCTGCCACAGGGGGGGCTTTGTAGAGTCAGAGTGCACGGGGAGCAGGGGGTGGGGGTGGGGGGGCGTTCCTCGACGTGCAGCTTCTTATAAAGATAACAGCAGAGGCAAGCCAGCAACAGCAGGCTAACAAGGCCGATGACCTATTGAAACGCCTCGATTTCCACCCTGCAAAATGTGAAGTGGGCGGTACAGCCACAAGACCGAAACGACGGGAGCAAAGACTTCGACATCAAAGGTCCCGACGTGGTTGATTTTGACTTTGCCGCCGTCGTCGTCATCATCATCGTCGTCGTCCGTGCCCTCGACAACGGTTTGAACTACTGTTGGGGGTGTCACATCCTGCACACGGGCGTACTCAGAAGTGCGCCGGTTGATAGGAGCCCCTTGAGTGTGTGGTGGGGCAAGGCCGAGACACCTCCACATCGATGCCGAACGCTTCGCTGGCGGCCTCACCTCTCGCCCTTGCTCTTCCTCTCCCCCTCCATGCCCTCGCCCCCGTAGCCGTACCCCTCACAGGTCACACTCCCCTCCCCCCGGGGCCCCCTCTCTCCTTCCCCCCCACCTCCCTCTCCCTCCTCGCAGTAGGGCCCATGCCCCACGACCATGTTCCGGTATCAAAAAGAACCCCTGCACAAAGACCGCACGGGCGAGGACCTGTTGCCCTTCCTCTTACTTTCCGTTTGCCGTCGAGCGTCGTACCGTACGTACTTTAGCCCAAGGTCAAAAGAATTCGTGCAAAAAAGAATTGGGCGCATTACACACATTTCTTGCGGGTGCGCACTGTGCCTCTGTGTTCGTGCGTCGCCCATTTTTAAAGGTCAGCACACAGCATTCGGCTTCAACGGACAACGCGATACATGTACTCGAACGATAGAGATCTAGGTCTAGCTCTGGCCCCGTGTCCGCCACCCTGCGCCACTGCTCGTCGTCGAGCACGTGCCAGTACCGGTCGCCCTCGAAGTTGGTGTACTGGACGCGGTGCACGAGCCGGCCGTCGGTGTCCTCCGTCCGCTCCATGATGGTCGCTGGCCACCACCTCTCCTCCTCCCCGAAGATCTCTCGACCCGCGTGCCCGTCTCGAGGATCGCCTGACCCGCCTGCCTTGCTGCCGCGTCCACCATGAGCCGCTTCCGGCGCGACTTGACCGGCTCCGGCGCCTTCGGCAGCAGGTAGTTGGGCCCGCTCTCCTCCACCGCCGCGAGCACGACGGACGCGCTCACGTGCTCCACCGCCCCCTCCTCGTCCGGCCCGGCGGCTCGAACGCCTCATTCCCGCCTCGCGCTCGCTCCTCTCGCGGGCCCCAATCGCTCGTGGTGGGCGTTCCGCCGGTCGACGCCGTCCCCGCGGTGCTCCGCGGTCGCCGCCTGCGGCATCATCGCCGCACAGGCGTCGCTAGCAAGGGGCGTTGTGATGTGCTCCGATGTGTTACGACTCGCTCTCCAGCCCCTCCGCAGCTGTCACGCTTTTGGTCGACCCCCCCCGACCCCTCCTGGACGCGTCCACCCTCCGTCCAAAACATTCGCATCCCCTCTTTAAGATACATAAACGAGCCGTTTCGTTTATTTACGATTTATTTCAAGCAAAGGGGTCTCCGCGCGCGGCGTCGGCGCACGCCGGGCGCGGGGGGGCAGCGGCGGCGGCGGCGGCGGGGGGGGGGGGGATGGATGCTAGAGACTCTCACTGATCACGTACAATGACCACAATTTCAAGCAGAAGCACAGAGCACACGCCCCCACAGCGGGGCGCTGGGTACAGAAAGAACATGATCCGCGCCCGTCAAACCACAACGCAACGACACATCGCTCTCGGTTGTAACCGGTACACGCCATGCGACGCGCGTCATCCTGCGTGCGGGCTGCTGGGCCCCGCAAAACACCGGTCCGCAGCCTACCTGCGAATGCGTCATCCCGCGCCGGGAGCGGCTCCGAGCGACGCGGCGTGCACGCCGGCGCTCAGCACGGCGTGTGGCGAGTAGTTGCGCAGCGACGAGACGGTGCGGTAGAGCGCGGGTCCGTGCACGGCCGCCTGCGACAGCAGCAGCACCAGCCCTAGCGCCAGCGCGTACACGGCGGCGAAGGCGGCCGCGAGCAGCAGCAGCAGCAGCAGCCCTGCCAGAGCGCGGCAACCCCAGTGCCGCAGCGCCCGCACCCACCGCCGCCGCCTCCTCCTCCTCTGCTCGACCGTAAGCAAGCGCCGCTCCCGCGCCAAGCCGGCCGCGTCCGCGCGAGCCCTCGGCTGCGGCGGCGGCGCCTGGACGTAGCGGCCGGGGGGTGGGGTGCGGCCAGAGGGTGCAGGCGAGGTGCAACTCGCCCCCGGCTACGCAACAGTGTGGCCGAGATGCGGCTGCGATGCAGCCGAAGTGCAGCCGAAGTGCAGCCGAGGTGCAGCCGAGGTGCAGCCGAGGTGCCGCCGAAGTGCAGCCGAGGTGTGGGGCGTGCGCCTGGTAGTGTCCGAGCGGGTAGGGCGGCTCGTCGGGTGGCGGTGCGCCTATTCACAGCGACACCGCCGTGAAGAGGCGCCGTTCACGGCTGCGTGCGGACGGACGGCGGCGGGGGCGCGTAGAGAGATGGTGGCGATAACTGCGGCGGCGAGGAGGAGGAGGATGTAGGAGGCCGCGGTGAGTGCTGTGGCGGCGTGCTCGGGCAAGTCGACGGCATAGGTGGTCGCCTGCTCACACCCCGCGGCTGTGAAGAGGCGCCGTTCACAGCTGCGTCGGCCGGGCGGCGGCGTCGGCGGCTGCGTTGGTGAGGGGGTCGTAGAGCTGCAGCTGCATCCCCCACGCCCTCCACACCACCGACGTCGAGCCTATTCACAGCTGGACCTCCCTGTTCACAGCTCCACACCCTCCCCCACGCCCTCCTCGCCACCGACGGCAGACCGTTCTGCAGCCGCGGCACGCAGCCATGCCCGCCCGCCCCGCCGCCGCACCACCCTCCCGCCCCCTCGCCCCGCTGCAGGGCCGCGCCGGCACCGCCGCCGCCGCCGATCAGCGCCTCAAACAAGCGGCACGCGGCGGGCGGGCGGCGCGGCGGCGGCACAGGCAGCAAGGTCCCGTTCGGACTGACAGGCCGGTGGCGGGAGGAGGCGAGGCGGGGGGCGAAGGCAGTTGCGGAGGGGAGGGGGCTGGCCTGTTCACAGCTGGAGGTGTGAAGAGACGTCTCTTCACACCGGAGGCGGAGGGGTGGGGGCGCGGCTGGTGCAGGAATGGGCATGGGGTGTGTCGAGCTCTTCACAGCGAGTGCGCCACGAGCAACGCGCTGGAGCGAACCTCGCCCACCTCTCGGCTGCGTCTCGGCTACCTCTCGCCCAGCAGTGCGTCGCAGCCACGGCGGCGGGGTGGACCCACCTGCGAAGTGTGAAGAGGTGCGGTGTGAACAAGCGGCGGGGTGGGCCCAGCTGCGAAGTGTGAAGAGGTGCGGTGTGAACAAGCGGCGGGGTGGGCCCAGCTGGTAGGTGTGAAGAGGTGCGGTGTGAACAAGCGGCGGGGTGGGCCCAGCTGCGAAGTGTGAAGAGGCGCGGTGTGAACAAGCGGGGAGCGGGTGTGAAGAGGTGCGGTGTGACCAAGCGGGGGTGCGAGGCGCGAGGTGCGGAAGAGGAGGGCCCACTTTGAGTTGGCGAGCAGCTGCCGTGTCCACGACTGCACTGCGCCTGAAGGACTCAAACCTCTCGCTGATCAGCTCACTGGAAGCAGCTGCGTTGTCCGCGACGGCACTGCGCCGAAGAAGCCGAGTCGGCCTTCAAACGTGAAGTGCGCCTGAGGAGCAAAAGGAGCGGGCTCCTGCGGGAACGTTCCGAGAAAGTACCACCCGCCGTCGGCCCTCAACAGCAAAGTGCGCCTGCGCGCCCGCGGACAGCATCGCTACCGCCAGGCGCTCGATCGCCTCCTCCTCCTATTACTTCAACCACCAGTCGACATCCTGATCATTGCAGCAGCCACCGCCTCCGCCGCCCGCTCCCTCGCCTCCTCCTCCTCCCGCCCCTCCCTCCTTCCGCCGCCAACTCCGCCGACCCCTCGCCCCGAGCGGGCCAGCCGCCGTACCGCTCTCCTCCTCCCAACTGCCCACGCCGCCTCCGCCGCCCCCGCCGCCCCTGCCGCCTCCACCGCCTCCGCCGCCTCCGCCGCCTCCCTCGCCACCTGCCGCCGCTGCCGCCGCCGCGCCGCCGCCGCGCCGAGCATTGCGTCGAGGCACGCCGGCAGCGCTGGCGCCGCCTTAGCCCCGCAGTACC